GTAGTTATACAGTTCATTATCCACTCAATCTAGGTGTCACAAAAACCCATTTTATTCATCATAGCTTTCAAGTAATTCCATTCCAGTCTATCATAGGCTTTAGACATATCAAGTTTAACTGCCATGCATCCAATTTGCCCGTTTCTTTTATTTTTCAGATGATGAAGAAATTCATGAGCTAATATGACATTGTCCAGAATTTGTCTACCCGCAACAAAGGCAGACTGATTTTTGCTTATGCACTTATCTAACATAGGTTTGAGTCTGTTCACTAAGATTTTGGAAATGATTTTGTAAAGAACAGAGCATAAACTTATGGGTCTAAAGTGCATTAAGCTAGTAGGAACAGGAATTTTGGGAATTAAGGAGACGAGTGTGTGGTTAATGGATTTAAGCATGTAACTTGAATGAAAAAAAGCTTGAACTGCCTCTACTATATCTTTTCTAATGATGTCCTAATAAGTTTGGAAGAATAGAGGAGTCATACCATCACTTCCAGGGGCCTTATTAGGATTCATGGGAAAAACTGATGTCTTAATTTCCTCCTCGTCCACAGATTTGATTAATATCTTATTCATTTGTTCAGTGATTGTGGTTGGAATCCCTTTGAGTATCTCATGAATGCTATCCTCCCTTGTTGCAGTTGTTGAGGCAGTGAAGAGTTGCCTATAGTATTTGGCTATTTCTTGTCCAACTTCTTGTTCTGATTTTGTCCAGCTTCCATCACCTTTCTAAAGTTGGTTCATTCTGTTTGCCTTTCTCCTCCCATTCACCACTGCATGGAAATATTTGGAGTTTTTGTCCCCTTCCCTCAGCCATTGCAATCTAGCTTTTTGACTCTAGAACATTTCTTCCTCTTGATATGCCTCTGCCAATCGTTTTTTTAGATTAGCAATCTCCTCCTTTGCTGTTTTCCTGTGTTGCTCCTTTTTCCTTTCTAGTTCCTCTTTGACCTCTGCAATCTTCTTTTTTACATTGCCAATCTTGCTATTGTGCCACTTTAGGAGTCTTACCCTGCAACTTGTTATACTCTTGGTAACCTTGTACATCCTGGATCCTTCATATGTTACATTCCAAGCTTCATTGATCAGTTGATGGGCTTCCTCATGCTGTACCCACCGTTTATCAAAGTAGAACCTCCTTTTCCTTCTTCTGTTTGCAGGGCAAGTGTCCAGTAACAATATACTGTGATCAGAAGCCCAATTTTCCACATGTGTACGCTTCACATTAGCAAAAACTTCTAGCCATTCATGTGTACATAGTCCTCTGTCAAGTCTTTCTTTTATTTCTAGTTCTTCGTCCCAGCTATTCCTCCAGGTCCAGGGCAATCCTTCATATCCAATGTCCACCAGTGTATTCCTTCTCATGAGCTCTCGGAAATCAGTAAATGTCTACTCATCCCTGCTCCTTCCACCCCACTTCTCCTCTTTGCATTTTATGTCATTGAAGTCCCCTATTATTATCACCTTATCACCCCAGGCCTTTTTCCTTTCAGTAACTATGTCCTATTAATTTTTCCTCACTTGTTTTTCACAGCTGGCATATATACCAACTAACCACCAATTAATTCTTGCTTTACCATCTTCTATCAATACTTCAATGTTGAAATCTGTGTGTTGCAACTCCTTCACTTGGACTGAGTTTGTCCAGAAAAATGCCATTCCACTTGCCTTGTTAACAGCATCCACTACATAACTGTTTTCCATCCCCACCTTCTTTTGTATTTGGTGCATCACTGCCTGCTTGTTTTTAGTTTCACTCATCAAGATCATATCAGGGGAGAGGAGTGTGTTGAACTCCCTCAGCTGGGGAACTGTCAAGGGGCTCCCTACTCCTTGGCAGCTCCACACCATAACCTTCATGGATTATTGGGGGACCAGGTAAGGTTGATCCCCATCCCTTCCCCCTGCATCTCACTTTGCTCTTTGTTAATCTCCATTCTGATTTTTTTCCCTGCTTGCTCCTGTTCATAAGCTTCTTCTATTTCCTCATCAACAAGATGGAATTTCCTTTTCCCCATTGCTTATGTTTCATTTTGTTGATCTGTAATGTCCCTGAGGGGTTGTCTTTTCCTGAGTTGGCTTTTGACTCCTCTTTTTTGCTTTCCTCCTCCAGTTGACCTCTTAGTTTCTAGAGTTACCTATGTTTCTGAGTCTACCAACATTTCATCCATTTCCTTTCTTGTAACTCCTTCCTTCAGGTTATGGTCAAGCATTTTTTTTCCTATTCCATTAGAAACTGACTTCACTGTCTCACTTCCTGGTGCAGTGTTCCCTACCTGTTCCTTCAAGTTAATGTTATCAATTGCAGGAGCATTGTTTCGGTTATCCTCCTGTTCCTTTTCCATTTATTCTTTTCCTTCCGCTTGGTCCTTTACTATACATTTCTCCCTGTCCTTCACTGATTGTTCCTATATTGTAGCTAATTCCTGGTGTCTACTTCCTTCACTATTTTGCTTCACCATGTTTGCTGCCGTCCATTTTTCCATCAGATCCCTCTGTTGAAGTGATGGACTTGGGTACTTGGGAACTAGTTCTCCATTCCTGTACAGCCAGTGTTGCTTCTCATTCTCCTTCCTATGAGAACTGTTGCTTCCTTTTGTGGTGACAGCTTTCCTCCCCTGCCCTCATCCATGGACCATATTGGTTCTTACTCTGTCCTTTGCTTAATACTATATGCGTCTTGCAGGTCCTATCACTATGACCAATCTTTCCACATTTGTAGCATAAGTTAGGGCATCTCTCATATTTAAATTGCACCCACTTATATACTCCATCCACTTTCACGGCTGTTCCTCTTGGGAGAGGTTGGGTTGTGTCCATTTTTACCCACAGCTTTAGATGCTTACCTTCCTTCCCTCCCCCTTGGGGAATGATTACCTCCTTCACTTCTTCAAAAGCATTTCCTATTTTCCTGCCAACTTCCTTAGCTATCCAGTGTAGGGGAAGGTTCCAAATCTGTACCCACAAGGGGGCTAGCCTAAAGGCATTCTCATCCTCTTCAATCCCTTTTTCCCACGATCTAAGGATAAGTATCTGGTTATCCAGTATCCAAGGCCCACCATTCAGGATTTTCTCCCTCTCATCCTCTCTTGGGATAAGGAACTGAAACAGGTTAGGTCCTAGTTCCGTTGTCCTCAAATCCTTTGGATAGCCCCATGCTGTAGTAACGAAATTCTTAACTCCTATGAAATTTGCTACTTTTTCCCCCTTAATTCTCCCAATTATGCTCTTTTGACATTCCTGCACCCCATTACCTAGATCCTCCGGGTCAATTTCAGCCACCTTCATTTCAGGCATAGATAGAGCAAATCTCTGGATTATCTCTGCCAAATCATCCTCCATGACTTGCAAACTGTATACTTGCGGGGATTCCTTTTTTAATCACTTTCAATGCACAAGATCTAACCTTTCTGATGTGAGAGTTAAACTAGGACAGCATACATTTGGAGGCAGTACAACTTTTAACTACATTCAAGGAAAAACAGAAACCTAAAAAAGAGTCTTAAGCTGTTTAGTTATAAAGTAGAAGAGAGAGAAAATAAGAGCAGACACAAAGGTGAGTGGGTTTGAAAAAAGTTGGTTCAGCATGCAACGGGTTTATAGAATGTAAGACATTAAAACTAATATGTTACCACCTACTGAGTGACTCCTTCCATTTCTGCACTTTGTCTGGCATCAAACCACAGCTTAAGGACTAGCTTTTATTGTCTTTCAAAGGTCTTCATCTCGCCGCTATGGGTCTTTGGTGATAATTTGCATCTAAGCTAACTGACACTGTTGATTGCTAACAATGTTAAATGTCTGCCTTGCATTTTGGCTTGTAGTGTTGGATGTTCTTGGAGCCATGTTTGGAAGCTGCTGGTATAATTTTGCTAAGATGTTGAAATTTCTGTGTTTGAAATTTGAAGAACAGTTGAAGATTTGAAAGTTGAAGGTTGAAGGTTGAAAGGTACAAAGTGTTCAAAAAGTTAGACGGTGTAAAGGGTGTGTAAAAGCTCCCACCTTGGAGAGAAAAGCTCACACTAGAGAAAGAAGCTCCCACTTGTCATGTCTCGACTACAAGTAAAGTGTCTTGACATGTAAATTGCACTTCATTGTCATCCAAAATTTGACTTTCTTTCAAATAAAATTTACAAAGTAACATATACGTCCTGAACCAGCTCCAAGCTTTCTTGACGTTTACCTAAGTCAAATTGTTATTCTGTGTTGAAAAATTCATTTGCTGATTAAAAAAAAAACTATAGACCTTAAGTGTGTTCAAGGTAGTTTTGGAAACTTTGCAATGTCTTGAATTCTTGATCAATGCTAATGCTGCGAATTTTTACACCCATGCATTACAAAGTCTACAGTGGGACCAACAATTAATCCATCTAAAGTCATTTAAGGATGTTATCTGTCGGGTTAATATGTAATCAACTAAGGCACTGTCAACTCTGTCGCCAACTAAATTATTCATCCTTCAATAGATGAAACCTATAGGCATCTCTAAATAAAATTTTTTATTGCAGCATCTTAAGATTATTTGATAGGGTTCTTAAGATTAATTCTCAAACAATTGTTTCGGGATATTTTTCAGTGTCTTACATTGTCTTGTTCAATTTCCGAAGTCACTCCTAAAAAATTCCATTTCCTAATCCAATTTTTACGGTAGAACTTCAATGACTAATAACAAAAAGGAGGTTTTATACTACTTTTGATGCCAGAAAATTTTTATTCCGATCCATACAACATTTTAATTCAACCAAAGATAACTCTATGGCGACGTGATAGGGTATTAATTGTTAATTTTCCCCTTTATCCTTGCCAAATATTGTTTTAATTATTAATATTTACTTATATTTGGTATTGGACTCAATTTCAGGAAGTGAAACAGAAAACTACAAAAATGAGGGACTTTTTGGAGATAATTGGGATTTCAAACAACCGGGCCCACATGGTGCTACAAAGAGATTGCATTTCCTTTCCTGATTAGGAGATTGGAGTCCTACAGGCAATAGGAAACTAAAAGCAAGGAATTCGGTAGAGCCCCACTTTTGGTTTGATTCTCAATTTCAGCAGGGGACCACAGGGATAAGAAGCTTTAGTCATTGTTGGCTTTAAAAGGAGATAAACGTACGGAGAACTCTTATCAATCAATAGTTGAAAATCATTACAAGTAACAGCAGGAGAACTCCTTACGACAACTTTATCAAGCAAATTGTACATGATTACTTCTATTTCAAGCTGAATTTAAGGACGTGCATCTTGACCTACTTGATATTCGCAGAGCACTTAGTGTAGCGACGGCATTTGAGTGCATTCAGACGTCAAAAACTTGCAAGACAAGCATGGGATTTTTCAGATTGAAGTTGCAAGGCTCTTTAGGCTGAATTTGATCAGAACAGCAACAGACTTTAGGATAGAATTCGAAGAAACACAAGAAATTAGGAAAAACAACAAATCCAATGACATTCTCAAGAGGCACAAAAGTATTCTGCAATGTGACACTAACCACATTGAATCACAGGTTTGCTTGTGTATCTGTAGGTCCGGCAATAGCTTCTCTTTCCTCTTAGCTCCACTATGTCCATCTGTTGGCATGTGGTATTTGCCTCCTCTAACCGTTTTCGTGCTCAGCTGGTTGTAAGGATCACACATATCTGTAGCCATATCAAATAAAATTTCAGAAATTGGGATGATTGATAATAAACATTATGAAATATTGAAGGAAATAAGAACATCAGAATATTACAGAAACATGTTTGATAGACAACGTTGAATTCATAAATGCATGACTTATCAATCAAAAAATTGGGAAGCTCCAGAAATTGCACTGAGAAACATGAAAAGTTATACTAGCATTGAACTGATTGAACAAAGACGAATAGAACAGTGCAGTATATCTAACCTAATAAGTGGAACATAGCTCTGCTTTTGAGTCTCTGCCCACTCAAGAAGATACATTAACAGCACCCATTGCAAAATGTGATGAGAGGAAATCGAGAACAGCGATGGCAGGCTGGTAAACTACGACACTTGAATCTGGGGCGTCTCTGCTTAGAACCGGATCAGAAGAAGAAAAAGCAGAAAGGATAAACAGCTCATGCTAAGCCTCCAATGAGTGAGATAGCACTAGATGATCCGCCCACAGGGAAGTTTCAGTTCAAGAACCATCCCAGCAACTTGAGGGCTTTCCCCACTGAGGAATTTGATGCAGGCCAGCAATCCAAGAAGACTATCACTCCAAAAGTTTGTTGATTTGTTTTTATTGTCCCTTCAATCTTCTGTATATATTCTGCTCCTTTAGGTACTTCAAATTAAGGAGCTAGAAGGAAAAGGGAAAAAAAATGAGAATCAGGATTTCTTAAAAATATATAAAATAAAACAAGATTTCATCACAGGGATGCAGAGAGCCAAAATATGTTTTCACATATTGGTATGCATACTTCACCTATCACAGTAACCAGGATCAACCTCAACCAAATGACTTTCACTACTACATCTTTCCCCCTGTTAAGACTAAGTTTTTGAATCATTACTTGCTACCACAATCTGCCCTGTATCTTACCAGTTAAGGATCCTTCTCATAGATTTTTTGTATCATCAGTTACCATAGATATAGGAAAAGCAAAACTAAATAATCTTGGCAACAACTTAATTTGATCACATAAAGAACTATTTACTTCCAAAAAATCAGTCACTCCAAAACAAACTTTAGTGCACTTTATGCTGGATGCTCAAATAGTAGTCTACAATAGATTGTGGGATGAAAGCAAGCCGAAGAGACCGTAGCTAACCAGTCCTCAAGATTACTCTTTTCATTCAATCCAAAACATTCCCTTTTCATCCTCTCTGGTTTCCCACCTCTCCACAAATTTACTTCCACCCAGCTCAACAGAAATCAAATTTTTAACACTATAGCGAGACATTCAAGAGTACATATTACGCCTAGACTCTCCAATTTTGGGGGCAAAATACAAATTTGCCACAGAAAAAGAACTCAAAAAAGCACACAAAAGAACTTGTCGATTTTTCAACAGGCAAATAAGGAAACTTTCTGTCTCGCATAAATCTATGTTGTTAATATCCAGCAAACAACTTTCAAATGTTTCAACCACATTTGTGCCTCTAACACCCCCTCCCCCGGCAAATCAATCATACCCAAATTCAGAATTCATAGCGCTCAAAGGATGCGAGATAGTAAGGTAGTTAGGATTACATTGGAAATGTGTGGAGGGAATATTTTAAAAATCTTCCCCAATAAACTGATGGTCCGAACAGATTTGTTTCTTAGGCTTGTTTCTTTAGTTTGTTTCGTTAAAAGATTTTTACAGGGAGAAGCTGCGTGTTTTTAAGGAGAACAACTTCAATAATGCTTCCTAATATAGTCAGAAGAATTGCTTTTGCTGCATCATTTTACTTCGTTTGGCAAAGCAGAAACAAGAAGCTATTTCAAGGTGTTATGTCAACACCAAATCCTGTACGTGATCAAATACTTGGCAATATGAGAGGAATCATCTCTGGCTGAAGAAATGTGGCTACTACTCCTAGCAATCGACAATTTACAACAGAGCTTAGGTTACCAACCCCTAAAATTGTAGATAGTAATTCAATAGATCAGTGGTTCCTAATTTTTGATGCTGATAGACCTATACTTCCCTGTAAATCTTTTGGCTTTGTACAGGTGGCAAATCTCATTCAACTCTTTGATCAATAAAAAAATTGCGAATTCACCAAAAAAAAAAAAAAATTAGTAATGCTTGAAGGTAAGTTATTTTCCATACGTTGGGGTAAAACATTTTAGGGTCTGTTTGGTTGGAAGTAAAATGTTTTCCTTGGAAAAATATTTTCCGTGAAAGTAATTTTCCATGAAAATCATTTCCTTTTCATCATTTTTAGGTGTTTGGTTAGCTTATTGAAAATATTTTCTTGCTTCATTTTTCTGGTGTTTGTTTAACTTTTGAAATATTTTCACTTTTATCTCTATCTTTACTTTCTACACATTATAACTACATACTTCTTCCCATGCAAAATAAGAAAATTTATCTCATTGTTTAACTTTAAAAAATCTTGGAGAAATGTATATATGAATAAAAAATATCTCCTTAAACAATAAACAAATTGCTAGCAATTTAGTGTCAAATATCAATTACATGCAATGCTTATTGTGACATATATCTTGCACTCTCACAGCTAAAAGTTTCTCTAAAAAAGAATGTCTCTATTATACATAATTAATTATTAGCATAGGATGAGCAAAATGAGTTTTTTTTTATTTTGAATATACTAGGGGGGTTGGGTTGGGTGGTACGGGGGAGGGAGTGTAAGAAAGAAGTCTTAGGTTCGAGTTCTCCTGTTTATACTAAAAAAAAAAAAAAAACATACTACAAGATGTTCTCAGTAAGTTTGGAACATACTACAGGCGGGATGCATGCATTTCGGAAAACAACTTCAGTAAGTTTGGAAAGGAAGTTGTTTTCCATAAAATGAGTGAAAATATTTTACATAGGAAAATATTTTCAGTAACTTTTGTGCAACCAAACACGGGAAATTAGAAAAATATTTTTCTGGAAAACATTTTCACCTGAAACAAACGGACCCTAGTTTATAAAATTCTCTCCAAACACCAGAAACATTTTCTGAAAAAATTTTTTGCAACAAAACAAACAGACTGCTTGTTCAAAAACTTTTGATGCACTTTAGCTCTGTAATTTGGGATAATGACAAATTCAAAACAAGGTTAGTAGTAGTTTTTCTTTGATCCTTTCCCAGCCACTTTTAATTGTACAAATTTAGTAGTTCCATATGGCTACAATTTTGAATAAGCATTTTCGAAAATGTGAAATATATTCAAGGCCCATTGCAATGTTTTAGCAATCTGCAACTTAAGAGAAAAAATAAATGATTAACCTTTTGCTAGAACTGTAATCTCAGTATTCAACAGATCTAAATCTGAGAAATACCAAAAATGAACAAAATTAAACTTCAATCAAATGAGTAGACAGGTCAATGTAAACGATAGACGGGATAGAAGAAAGCAGGTAATTTGCATGGTTGATGGCTACACCCATTACAATTTCTTTGAATTAAAACAAGGATCTTCTTAAGAAAGCCAGTACATATAAGCAGAAAATTCCACAATTTTGGACTAGACATTTGTGAATCAGCAAGACAAGGATAAAAACATAGATTCACTTTGTCCTGGAGTAATTCGGACCATTGCACTAGTAATATCTGTTAATGGCCATATTAGTACTAATTTCGGTTGGCATGGGTACAGGGAGAAGGTGGAGGTAAAATGGAAGGCAAAAGAGAAACATAATTATTCATAAGCAAGGCTCAAGGTTGGGAACATTTAGGATTTGTGCAAGGAATATATATATTAAAAAAGGTAATATACTAAAAAACTCCCTGTGATTTGTCAGATGTTTAATTTAACTTCCTCTAATTTGAAAACTTACTCTACAACTCCCTGTGGTTTCATCTAAATTGAAAATTGGACCGAAGGCATCTAATTTAACGGTTATATATGAAATATCAATATTGTTCCAACATAAATGAACTCCCTGTAGTTTGCCGAATGCTCAATTTAACTCCTCTAATTTGAAAAACTACACTATAGTTCCCTTCGATTCGACTAAATTGAAAATTAAACGGAAAACATTTCATGTATAACATGGCAATATTGATATTTCACGTACAATTGTTAGATTTGATGTTTTCCGTTCAATTTTCAATTAGATAAAACTGTAGGGAGTTTTAGTGTAGGTTTCCAAATCAGAGAAAATTAAATTGAATATTCGACAAACTACAAGGGTTTTTTTTTTTTTTTGTATTTTATCCTAAAAAAAGAGTGCTAATTTAGCGGGATCAATCGACCTTGTTAATTTTTGTGGAGAATTATGGTGAAGTTATAGAGTCATACCATAACAAAACTCTAGAAAAACAGTGACAAGGAGGAACAGACTCACACATCTAGTGTCTGGGTCAAAAAATAAAAAAAAGAACCACAAAAGCCAAAATCCTTATGTTTACCAAGCTCGGAGTAGTTAATACACACATATTCTATACAAAAAGGTTGCAATAGCATACCGCATTCTTGGCATTACAAAATAAATAGAAAACAAAAGGAAAAAGAAAATGTCAGGTCAATCCTCTATTTGATTTCAAAAAAAGAAAATGAGTTCTCTCACTGGAATACATAACAGGAGTAAAGAAGTGTACCTCGAATATATATATAAATATATATATATATATATATATATATATATATATATATATATATATATATATATATATATATATATATATATATATATATGCTTGTGCTCAGCTGGTTATAAGGATCACTCAAATCTGTAGCCATGTTGAAGAAAAATTTTAGAAATTCATTGACCAAAAACGTTATGAAATATTGAAGGAAATAAGAACAGTGCAATAGTTTCAAAACATGTTTGGGAAGCTCTAGAAACAGGATTGACAAACATGAAAAGTTATAGAATTGAACTGATTGAACATATACAAGTAGAAAAGCGATAGTATATCTAACCTGACAAGTGGAACCCGCCCTGCTTTGTGTGTCTCTGCCCACTCAAGGAAGGCAGATTAACAGCACCCGCTGCGAAAAATGTGTGAGTTGGCACTAAGAAGAAGACGTGGACCATCACCAATGTTTTCATTCAACAATAACCATCTTCAGATCCTTGTTTCCCATATCCATCTGCTCTTGCTGAATTTGCTTCACAGAATTTACGGCAGACTCATGACACCATTTCACCTTAATCATGTCAAGAGTAAGGGTTTCCCCTAAACAAGAGGGGACCTCTTCCAGGCTAAAACAATTCTCCAAAACCAATTTCTCAAGACAGCAAAAATTATCACAAGATGCAGTCCACCAGCGAATGTCCAAGCCAAACAATTTCAAGTATCGGAGGTTTTGGAACTCCCCTTCTTGCATTTCCCATTTTTCCCCCACAAAGGAAACAGGGCATAATTTAAGCACTTCAAGGTTGGGCAGCTTTCCAATTGCTGAAATTTTACTCCATGGTTGACGATTCTGTAAAAGAGTCAACTTTCTCAAATTAAATGGGAATTCAAACTCATATCCGGCAAATCGACCCATCTTAAGTGATTCTAAACGACTCAAGTAGTTCAGCATGAGAATCCCATCGTGATCTCCAGCAGACGCGTGGTATCTAGAATTCCAATTGTCATGCCCATTCACGCATTTTAGCCTGCGGATGCTCGGTAACTTTGAGAGTATCTTTTGCAAGCTTTGCCTTTCAGAAGAGGGATCGATTGCAAGGGATAAAGTTTCTAAGTGTTCTAAATCTGGGGAGCCTTCAAGATCGTTGATGGGAAATTTGAAACCACTATCATTTGGGAAAACGACAAGATGCTTTAATGTTTGAATGTTCCAGATAGTGTTCGGTAACAGAAAATTAATAAAAGGTCCTCCTACAGCCAAAGTTTCTAACCTTGAGAGGTTGGCTATTGCAGATGGGATTTCCCCGGAGCCCAATATTCTAATACTCAAGTATCTCAAGTGAACAAGGAATAATACTTCCCTTAGAAAATATGGACCAACTGTCGTCCCCAAATCCAACACTCTAAGAAGTCCGGATAACAGAAATTTGAGTGAGCTTCTGTCCAGCTGCTGCCTATAATCACAATCAAAGAAGAGCAAACAACGCAAATTGGGAAAAAATAGCCTTGACTTTATAGGTTCCTCACTAGTGGTAGGGAAAATGGATAGCCGGTGGGCGTTATACGGTCCAGTAAAAGTAAGAAGGTCATCCCCATGTAAAATCCGTAGAAAATTTTCTTCTTTTGCTTTCGTCACACAAAACTGATGTACCAAATCATGAATTTGGCAAACTTTGATCCCACCTAAAGATCTTCGATGTGCAGGCATAACTAAACTTCTCCCAATCAGATCCATCAAATAGTTGTCCGCCACATCCTCTAAACTCTTTCCTTCAATCTTTTGCACCAATCCTTCAGAGATCCAAAGCCGTAACAACTTTCGGACAGGAATGTCTTGGTCTTCCTGAAATGCACCCAAGTAAAGAAGGCATGGTTTCAAATAATCAGGCAAATAATTATAACTATACTCCAATGTCTTCATGCAGTGTTCATTTTCCACTAAAACGGTGGAAGTTAGACGTCTTGTGACTTGTTCCCAGCAATCTTGCTGAGTAGTAGCAAGAATTCCAGCAACAAGGACAACTGCAAGAGGTAGGCCCTTACAGCATTTTGCTACATTCAGTACACCTTCACTTAATGTTGGAGGACAATCTTCTTTGGCAAATAGCTTCTTCTGCAGCAATTCCAAACTCTCTTTATCAGTAAGTGGGCGAAGATGGAGAGGCTTGCTATCAGGTTTAATTTCCAAAGACAAGTTATGAAATCTGCTGGTTAAGAGTACCCTGCTTCCAATGCGATCATCTGGCAATGAGTGTTTCAACAAATTCCAGCCCTCAATGTCCCAAACATCATCCAAAACGATGACATACCTCTTCCCTTTCAATTGCTGGTACAGCTTTGCAGCCAAATCATCTTCATTCATCTTATGATATTGGTCACAACTCCTAGAATCAATTACACACAAAATCTGCAGTAACAAATTGTGCTTGCTATATACTTGAGAAACAGTACACCAAGCACAAATATGGAAGTGAAACTTTATTGAAGGATCACTGTAGATATTCTTGGCTAAAGTTGTCTTACCAAGCCCAGCCATACCCACAATAGCAACAACATCGAACTGGTTTGATCCTCTTGTAAGTCTATCAATTATGCTTTCCACCTCATCGTTGAGACCTACTAGAGCTTCATTAAATATTGGAGCAACAATTTGTGATGGCATGCGAATTGTAGTCTTCGTAACTCTCCGGGTTTCACTACCATATTTTATGCTATCATAGAGCTCTTCAGCCTCAATCTTCAAAAGCTCAATATCTCTAGCAAGAGCATCTAGACAATGTTCATATTTATCACCAAGCAGTGCAGAGTCAATTTCTATTTCCACACAGTATGCAACCTTCATGACACGACTCCAAAGAGTTTGGAGTTTTCCATTTTGGCAGCACTGCTCCCCAATATTTCCTAGGAAAGCTCTTAAGAATACAAGATCTTCTAGGATTGTGCATATTTGATTGTTTGGAAAAGCAATTGAATCAGCTGTAGAACCTGCTAGTTCCTTGAGAATTTTTAGAAGAAAATCAAGAGAACCAAGCTCATTAGTCTTAGGGAAACTAAGTGATGATGATGATAGTGGATAAATGTGTCCAACTTCTGCAATGACCAACTTGAGCACTACAAGCAAATGAGAAAGCGCTAGATCTGTTTCCTTGCACAAGCATTCTTTCATTTCATTCACAGAAAGGGAGAAAATCACAATTCCTGCATCAGAGACCACAACTCCAATGAGATCCTTTATCTCCTCATTTAGCTCATCAAACTTCTTCTGCTGCCGGCTAAGAAGGATGATCAGGAATCTTACTCCCTCGTGGAGTTTTAGCATTTGTTCCTTCACTGGAACTAGGAAACTGGTATAAGATTCTAATATCTCCATAAGACTATGCAGGAGATAATCAATAAAGTCAGCCACCAGATGTTTATTCTCCTTCATAGCAAAAGTGCAGGATGACCTTGATAACTTGGAAGCTGTCAAAACATGCTTATAAGTTTCTTGGACTTGGGGATCAACGGGAACAATCATCTGCCGTATTGCTTGAGAAATTTCAGTGTTTATCTCATTGCACACTTGTTCATTATGTCTTTGAAACCATAATCTACAGATCAAGCTTGCAGCATTGACAGCCACAACTTCAACGTGAACCAACAGATCTTTTAATTGCACCCCCTCAACACCTTGTAGTGTCGCAAAGCCTATGAAACTCTTCAAGTGCATTAGCTTCTTTTGAAGGGTTTGCATTACAATTTTCAGACCTACATCAACATTGCAATTTTTGCTGCAAAGATGCGTCAGATTCTCTGAAATGGAATCAATGAAATCCATAACAAGTTGTAAATCTCCCAGCGAGTGGTAGAGCAACAAACTGATGATGTTGAATTCCTTGATATCTGAATCAAAAAACAACCACATATTTTCCTCGAATCTGGCAAGCTCAGGTCTGATGTCACTATGATTTGATGCACTAGACTGAATATATCTAAAAAAGGCAGAGTCAAGTCCATGTGTTATCCCCCTAACCAGATCTTGAATCCTAAACGAAATACTGCTAAGTCTCAAATTGTCAGATTTAGCATCACCATTTTCCTCCTTACCGTATTCCAAACACGTAAATTGATTGCTCCTCCACCTCCTACACTTTCTAATATACAGATCAAAGGGTTTCAATATGCGTATCCCCATCTTCAGTTTCCAAATATAATCATCAAGCTCAGAGTCGAGCGTCTTGTCAATCCAGTCTAGATGATCTAAAGCAAAATCGAAGCAACTAGTGCTACAGCCTGAGGAGATGTTCATCATGGTACCTGCTTTTTACTTTGATATCAGATTTCTGTCCGTTTAGCTATTGATATTCAAGATCTACAACTTTCTTATGATCTAACAACAATAGTCACACATTGGTGTCAAGGGTCAAGACTCTATTTTTTTCTCTGTGTGTGTGTGTGTGTGTGTGTGTGGCAGGGGTGGTGGGGCGTGGTGGTGAAGAATATTACGAGACTTTTCCTTCTGATACTTTATCAATGAAAGATCGTACCAACAGGCATATGCTGTTGGTGACTCCCCAGTCCATAGTACCAATGAGCTTTCGTCATGTGCATACTATATGAGTAGGCTTACACTCGTTTTTTGTTTTCTTTTCTCTGTTTTTTGGTGGAAAAACAGAGGAAATTTGAACGAGCAATTCAAAGAGTATAATGTATTTTAAGATGGGCATATTGACATTAGCAATCATATTATTGCCAATATGTTATTTTGAAAGGAAAAGAAAGAGAGAGAAAATCAATCTACAGCACTACAATATTCAATCAATGTGCAGGACAAAAAATGAATAAAACCAGATTAAACATCAATGAGATTAGCTGGCTTGGGGTTCAAAGTAAATAGTAGAATAAGTCGGAAGCAAATGGGCACCAGAGATCAAAATCCAATCAACCTGATTTTCATTTAAGTCTTTTCAAATAAAGATCCTGAGCTGATTTGCAAAACTAAAAAGGGACATTTTGCATGATCCATGGCTGCCATTACACAATTTTCTTCAATTAAAATCAGTGATTTTTTTAACAAACAATATAGATGAACAGAAAGTTCCATGAATTGGAATACATCTATCCAGCTATATCTATACTATATAAGGGCAAGTTTGCAATACTGAATTAGTGCGTTAGATTTAGGGGTGCGCACGGGTCAGGTACCCGCCTCTAACATGATTTGGTTGATCCGACTCTAATATATTGGATCAGCCATTTTACGACTTTAACCTGCTTCTAATGTTTTCGAGTACCCGAAAAAAAGGGCCGGGTCATAGGGTACCCGCCCCTAAAAAAAAACTATTTTTCAATAAAAAAAATTATTTTCCACTTAATATCAACATGTTTTTCAATTAAAAAAAAACATGCTTTTCCAATTAATATTGGTAGAGATATTGTAATTAAAGTCCATACATCACCATTCTCACACATCTCATCCAACAATCAAATCGATCTCATAAATTTAGTACATATTAGAATTATAATATCTAATGGACAAAACGAAGCTTCATAATAATTTTGAGTACATCACCATTTTCACACATTTCATCCTTCTACAACACAACAAACACAAGGATAATAAGTATTTGACAACTTTCCCAACTTCCTTAAAGATGTTATGGTACAAGACTGCATCCCAAATAAGTCGATTGTGAAGACAAGTTCGGAAAAAAATTGAATAGAACTAATTATTTTTGAAAAAAATATAACCTTAAAAAATCTTCCCCAACTTCTTTACATCTTTGGAATAGACCTTATGGTATTAAAGGTGATGAAAAAGAAAAATAAATTTCTTACACTAAATAAAAGAGACATAATTGCAATAAAACTTCCTAGAGAAAAAGGAGAGAGAGAGAGAGAGAAGAGCTTGAGGTATGAGCATAAGAGAATTTGTCACATTGACTATTTTCTACAACATTAATTGGTGAAGATCAATTGAGCAACTACAAGGTGCTATAACTTTTTTTTTTTTTGTATGTATCCATCTGGTTGGCTAGCTATGTAATTATATATGATAGTGCAGTTTGGCTAATTGATACCTAGTGGGCTCTCGTTAAAAGGGGCCTCACGTTCTTGTTTTTTTAAAACATGTAATTAATTTGGAAAAGTGTCTAAATATAGGAGTATAAGAATTATAATTGTGTGTACTCACACGCTAAGGGCTCATTTGAGATTGCGGTACTTTTAGTTAAAATGCACTTTTGGGTATTAAAAGTACTTTGGAACATTTAATGAATATCATCTCATAAAATTAGAAGTGAAGTTTTTGGTATTAAAAGCACTTATAGAACACTTTTTTGAAAAAGTTCAAATTTGATACTTTTATATTAACTTTTATATTTTAAAAAATAAAAGATTAAATTTAATCATGTTATCCTATATTATGATCTAAAGAAAGAGATAAATGCATTTAAAAAAATTTCAAATTACATATTATTCAATACAATAAGTACTTATTGAATTATATATTCAAACAATATACTCAAAACCACTTAAATACTTAATAAGAAAGCGCTTTTATTAAAAGGCTTATTAGGTGAAGTACTTTTTGATAAGTTATTGCAACCCTAAAAGGGTAATTTAGATGTGTTAATGGGTATCCATCACAATTAAAAAATTCACAGAACACACACACACACATACATACACCAAATGTCAAATTTCTACGTTTTTCTTATGATATGGACCTTTCTTATGATCCCACAACAGCAATATGTTGCTATTAAGACTCTCTCTCTCTCTCTCCCTCTCTCTTTTATTTATTTATTTATTTATTTTCTGGCAATACTCTGTTTTCTTTGTTTTTTTTTTTTTTTTGCATGTGTGGTAAGGAAAGATAATGGGGCATGCCCGTGTTAATATCACACTGCTTTTCCTTTTTCCACTTGAAACTTTATCAGGGAAGATGCTGCTGGTGACCCATACGATACAAATGAGCCTCTGCCATTATATTTGGTGGACCTATAAATCAAAAGTGGATAGAAGACTACGTTTGAACTTGCAGATTGCTACATTGTAGTTTGCTCTTAAATTTTCCTTTGCATACTTATGTAATTACAGGTTACTCTAACGTAGAACAAGCATGCTATACTAGGGGTCTAAATGAGTCTAATTAAATCGAACATCCTAGTATCGAACCAAACTCGAATGAGTTTTCATTGAGTGTAACTCGAGTCGAGCTCGAGTAATTTGAGTATTTTATCTATAAAGCTTAATTTTATACTAATCGAGCCAAGTTTGACCTATAATGTTTATCAACTATAAAATGCTGTTCAAATTTAATGTGATTAATTAGGAAACCAAACTCGAACAAGCTCTTATCGAATTGAACTCAATTCGAGTACTAAATAGTTTAATTTGTTTTTTAACCCTGTTATGCTATGCAATATCAGTAGGCACATATTTGTTTTTCTCATAATGGATCTCAGAAGCACAATTATACGTTGCAGCGATTTTGTGAAAATTTGTTGACTGACTATTTGAGTACATGTTGCATATTGTGTAAATCAATCCCAGAAATTTTAGTGAAGAAATGAGTAAAAAAATAGAGATGCATTCAGCTGAGGGTAGAGTGGTGGTAATATTGCAAGACTTTACCTTCATCCTTTTAAAACTTTATCGAGGGAAGATAGCACCAATGATGAACAAATTAGAGATGCATTCAGCTGAGGGCCTCATGGCTTTGTAATTTGCCACATCCATTTTTTTTAAGTAGTGATTTTTTTTTTCTTCCCAGATGGCCAAATTGCCATTAGCAATAGATTATAAAATGTGAAGGGGAAAAAAAAAAGATGATTGCAGTTTCAATCAAATATGAATATGGGCAGCACCAAAAACGAACAAAATGAGAAATAGCAATTAGATTAGCAGTCAAAATAAACAGTAGAAAAATCAGAAAAAAATTATTCATGGCTATTGTTTAAGAATGTATAACTAAACTCATTTATGGATTTTGGCGACAGTTGTTTCATAATTGCTAATGTATGTAAGTGCTAACGTTTTAATGCTACTGTTGTTTTTTTTTTTTTGGTTTTTTTAAATTTATTAATTTAGCAACTTCTCCAAATTCTAAAGGTTGTATAACAAGACTAACAAATTTACTTCCTTTTTCGTGTGAGATAATTTGATCCAGTAGACCATCTAAATCAATTTTTTTTTTCTACATCCACCAAGAAATGACAACAACATACTTGTAAGATAGATCTTGTGGAGGTGAAGAAACATATTAAGTTCATAGTTACTCATCATATCATATCACATGAAATATGCTCACATAATTGCTTCACTAGTTTTAGCAATACATGTATTCATACTGAAGATTGATTTATCTAATCCTAAGTCAAATAAAAAAGCTGGAATTTCCTCCTATTTCATCCTTAATTTCCTTGGGTTTCTTTCTGTACAATGAGGTTGAGAGAAAAATCGCATAAGTGAAGCGATCATATGCAAGTATGCAATGTCAAGAACTCATGGAAGCCATATATATTTCAACCAAAACTAATGTATGAAAAAAAAAAAGAAAAAAGAAATTCAGCACTTACTTTGGATTTGGAGAGAATGAATACTCTGGCAACAGGTGAATCTGCAGAAATTCCATTTATGTGGTGAAGCTACGTTAAAAAAAAAAAAACTTTATATATAAGGGAAAAAATACAAAAGCCAGCACTCACTTGTGAGAAAATGAAACCTCTGGCAATAGTTGGTGATCTTGTGAGCATGCGAAAGTTCCTATCTTGTCATTGATGAAAAGAAGAGTAGAGTAAAACTGCTCATAAGTTTCGTGGCCGTGTAGTAGTACAATTATTGAACGTGTGGACCTATAGATTAGAATAGTATAAGAAAGCGGACTGAAATTACAGCTTGACCACATAGAGTAATGAATAGGATAAAATTTATTTTAAACCATTAAGCACTAAACATACTCCCATTAAAATCCATTAAGAATGAGAATATAGAGAAATAAATAGTCATTTTAAAAAGGACATTAGTGTATATGCATATAATAATAATATATATAGTTTACTTATTATATTTCATGCATTTAAGTTTACTGATATTTTGTTAAAATATATCTACTCACAAAAAAAATAGAAATTTAATTAGGAACATTTTGCTTTGAGTTGCAATTAGACATAATGTTGTCTTAGAAAAAAATGCAAATCAAGATTTTAAAATTGCACTAGTAAACTGTCAATTTTCTATATATATAAATTCACCACCTGAACTAAAGATCCTGGCTCCACCATTGGTACTACAAATTAATTTTTCTCTCTCTCCTTTTTTTTTTTTTTTCCAAATAATAGATTAGTAATCATATGATTGCTTGTATATTGCTAATGGCAATTTGCCAAATCTGAAAAAATTAAAAATAGTAACAGGGAAACTGGTAGCCATGGATCATGGAAAACCTTTTTTGGTTTTACCAAATTAGCTTAGGATGCGAAAGCTCTAAGCTGAGACGATAATCCCAAGGAGAAAAAGAGCAACTTCACTATGTTATCATAGTATGAAACTCGGAAAAATAATATTCAATCACAAAAAATGAACAAAACTAGATTAAACATCAATCAGAATTCAAAATAAATGATTGACAAGACAAAACCAGAGATAAAAATGCAATCAACCTAGTCTAAATCCATGATTTCCAAATAAAAATTATGAGCTGATTTACTAATCCAAAAAAGAGATACTTTCCATGATTCGTGGCCGTCATCACACAATTTCCTTCAATTAAAAGTAGGGATTTTCTTAACATATGCTATAGATTAACAGAAAGTTCTAGAATTGGGAATATGGGTGTAAAATGAGAAAGAGACAGATAAAAAAACTCACATTGACTAAAAAATAATGTATATTATAGATACATTTTCCAAAATTTAGATTTTGGGCCAAATGTGTATTCTAGTGGTAAAAACAAATAACAAGATGGCTTTATTACAAGAAAAAAGGGACTTAGAGGTTAAAGTGAGAATTAGGATATACATTAGAAGATTAGTTGTAAATTTCCCTAAAAAGATCATGTAGGTATTTTTCAAAATTTCTTGCTTTAATTGCCAAGAAATAGTACAATAAAATGAGTCCTTAATGAATAACTAAAATTTGATCAAGTTACTAAATTGATAGTGAATCTATAACTATTTGGTTCAATACGCCTACAATAATTTGTATCTTTAATTAATACTAATATATGAGAACATGCGTTGCACATTGGCACGGTGTTTTTTGCTATGATATTGCAAAATTAGTAAATACAAAATTGAGAAGTAATGAAATGTTGTATAGTAATAATGTAATACATACAAAATTGAGAAGTAATGAAATATAACGTCTCCCAAATTCTCTCAACCATCCTTCCTTTGTAGGATATCTGGGATTCAAGCCAAAGCCTCCCTTCCTCATCCTCTATTTCTAGTTTATGTCTAATAAACTCTCTTATAGGGTATTCTAGTGAAAATTTTGTCTCTCCTAACATTTTACTAGTAAGAGTTTCTTCTCTTCTAAACTATCCTAATGGCAGTTTTGTTTAGTTTTTGTTGCTCAGTGAATTTTTTTATATCTATGTGCTAGATCTAAAATTTCTTGTGTCTTTTGGTCAAATCTCAACATTAGATTTGAAATTTTTTGAATCTTCTCGTTAGATCTCAACATCAATGTTAAATTTCAACTAGTTGAATAGCAGATTTGAGGAAATAGTCATGCATAGATATCTACAGAGCAGCTTATGCAATTAGTCAGATCCGATGATTTTTTATTCACAGTGTAAGTTTTATCCTTTGTAACTCTATTAATTCTAATAATTTTTTAGTTCAAATATATTTGTGACGTGTTTTATATATTTTCTGTTATTAGCACACATTACTTTGTCAGCCAAATTGTGTTGAACGATTTCAAGTTAGTTTATTAATAATATTCTCTTCTATTTTATCAAAAAAAAATGTAATATAGCAAATGAACTAATCCTTTTGAGGTTCTTGGAGATGAAATTAAAGCATTCGGCAAAAGAAAAGCCAAATTGACATTAGCGCACATTACTTTGTCAACCAAACTGTGTTGAACGATTTCGAGTTAGTTTATTAATAATATTGTCTTCTGTTTTATATATAAAAAAATACTGTAATATAAAAATGAACTAATCCTTTTTAGGTTCTTGGAGATGAAATTTAAAAGCTTTCAGGAAAAGAAAAGCCAAATTGACATTACCCGCATTTACTAAAAGAATCTAATATTGTGATCGTTTGGCCAAGGAATTGATCTATCTCTCCAATTACACAAAGTGATGCGGTTCTCGGAGTCTCATACTGGCAAGGCATAATTACGAAATCGAGCTTCTACGTGTTGGCCTCTAGGAAGAGCTCAATTTGGTAATTACCTAAGGTTGACTTTCTAGAACTGAACTAGAGCTTAAAGAATTTGATTTGGAGCAATACATTGGTTTTTTTGGAGAACTTCTACGCGTCATTACAGCAACAAAATTTCATTGAAATAATTTCCCTTTTAAGAAGAGTTGAAACTGGAAATTGCTAAGGTTGACTCTCTAATTAACCCAGAGCTCACCAAAAAAAAGAAAAGAAAAAATAAAGCCCGACCCAATAGAAAGAGTTCCCAGCAGATTAGTCTTTGTGGAGCAACAAATGTTTTTAGTTAAAAAAAAAAGGGTCGAAAGGGATTCCAAAGAAAAATAAATAACCATCTATCCAGCAATTAGTAACAGATGTTTTCATTTTTTCCTATTTTTCCTTTTCTCATTGTCAAAAACTAAATATATTTCAAAAACTAAGAAATTGACAAATAAATAAAAAGCCAATCATGTTTCCCTTGTTTTCCTCCTCTTTCGTTCCCTTGTTTATATTTTTCCTTCCAACTTACAGAACGTATAAACAGCTGAGGAAATGGAACAATTAATCAACTTATTCTTTTTTTTTTTTTCGCTTTCAATTTCCTTGAATTTAAAAATTACCTGTTGTTGATGAGCACCGTACTCAGCTCTATTTGAAGAAATCGATTGCAGAAGCTCCGGCGAGCGGCACCAGCTTCGCCACCTCCTAACAACCGCCTCTTACTCCACTTCAGTAGTAAAAACTTAAAACTCAGCTAATTCATCAGAAAAATGCAAATTTTTTCCTGGGATTTCTTTGAAAAGTATACTGTGATACAATCAGATTTGTGAGAGTCAATGAGCATCCGAAACGAGAAGGTTCACAGCAGCAGGCCTTCACTTTCTTCAGTTTCTTGTCCACAATAATGCTGGCTTTGGCTTTTCCCAAATAAACAAAGGTATTATGACAAAGATGCTCTCCACATTTCACACCAGGTTGTGGTGCTTTCTCAACAAACATTTGTCGCATCCACCAAGGCAGAAACACGTGTCGTTTTGTGGTCGCTTTGAGGTTTTCAAATCTTTAAGTTTCTTGCATCATTGTTAATTAGTGCTAATTGGGTGGGACCTATCATAATTTTAGAGCCAATTAATCTATTGAGGGTCCGAATAGTTACGGGCGAAAAGATCCGCGCCGAAGGGCAGGCTCCTTTGTGGAGGTTGATTATCCCACATCGGGGTTGGGGTTGGGTTTGGGTTAGGTTATAAGTCCTTGGGACACCCTCAAGAGTTGCCGGCTTTTGAGGACTGTTCTGGAATTAGATTTATGATTTGACAAAAAAAAAAAAAAAAAATCTATTGAGTGATCGTGGACCTCAATGTTGCTTGTATCGCTTATTATAGCTATTGATTGATCGTCGACCTCAATATCGCTTGTATTGCTTAGTCTATGTTAAATACTCGTGAAAGTATCGAGGTAAAGAGAAATGATATTGAAAGATTTAAAAATTTTAGTGGCATCACAACATTTGTAACATTCCTATCTTCTTTTTTCCAATTGTGCATCATATTGCTTGTAGTTTGGACCGTTGAATTTTTTTTACTTTAATAACCATTTTTTGCTTGTTCAATTTTGCTAGATTAATAGCAATTAACTCATGCTTATGTGGAGTAGTAATCCTTTTGGTTCTTTTCTTTTTGTCTTTTTTTTGGTTAGATAATTTAAGGGTTAATTTTTTCATTTCGATGAATGTTAAACTTAATCACGATACTTTACATTGAAAAACAGGGGACAATTTTATTGCTGTAGGAGATTATGATGTTAAATATGCTAACAAGGGTGAAATGTAATTTATTCTATGCATATTCCTAATCAATACAAAAGGGCAAAGAAAAAGAAAAAAAAAAAAAGCTGAACAACAACAAATTAAGGAGCTGTTTGATTCGAATTCTATAATCACTATTACTATGGGTATAAGAAACTGGGTAATAGTAATGGGTTCTGATGAAAACCCAACGAGTATTTGATAACTTTATAGCAATGAGTTTTAAGAATTACAAAAGTTTCTTTTTTTATATTATTTTTTTAAATTTTTTTGTATTGTTTTGTGTCATTTTATTCGTCTTTCTCCTTCACAAGACACCACTACTGCCCACAGTATTGTTAGATCAGGACCGGACCGGTCGCCAGTCTTTTTTCCGAACTAGTTGGTAGCACAAAACTGTTTTGGACCACAACAGCTGCCTGTGCCGAACTCAGCCGCCGAAGTTGTATGTCATCGTCTTTTTTCATATCAATTTATACAGGCCTGTTAACGGTCCGCGTTTAGACCTAGACTTGGACTGGATTCGTGAATTTTTTGCGGGTACGGGTAGAGTTTTAATTCCGTTACCCGAATCCGGATTCGAATCCGTTTTGTCAAACCAAAAAAACGGATCGGATACGGAAATATAGTATTCCGACCCGTATTAGATCCGAATCCGGATATAAATGGATTAATAATTTAAAAAATATATATATTTATTAATATAATTAGATTACGGTGATGTGTTTGAGTAAAGTCAATTTGATTTCTTTTCTTATTTAGTTTTTTTTTTTGTATTAGTTAGAAATTAGTTTACAAATATATTTTTTTTCTAATTTTTATTAGAAATTGTAAGTTTTTGATAATTTTTTTGGGTAAACTCGACCCGGATCCGAGATAATTTTCGATGTGGTGCTAATTTTTTTTTTCTCGACAACTTTGATAGGAAATTGAGGAAATATATGAGAAGCACATGCTGGTTCAATTAGAATATATAGCACAAGGACAGCCAATTTTCTCACCTTCATATGGGATAACTCTAAAAGATATTTTAACAGTAACCTGGACGATGTGAACCAAGGTTTCTTCATAGAACCAATCCTTTAAGCACGTCGAAATATCTTCAGGTGCCATTCTTTGGAAAGAAGAGTAGATTTGCAGACTTCATAAATGGTAACAGTTTGCTGATCACCTGTAGTGCTTCAAGGACAGTGAATCTGCACGTGATCAAGATTCTTGTTTCTGTTTGTTGAGATTTTTACTGCGCTTGTAATTAATCTCTCTAGAGGGTGGAACAGTATTTTCGTTTACTTGTAATTTTCATCACCTTGCAACACTTAATCACTTGAACTGGAAAAATAAAGGACTAAACGGCAAACTAAAATGTTTAAGAAAAAATAACTTTCGTTAGACTTCAAGAAGATATTCCAAAGTTGAAGAATGAAAATTTTGTACTTTTTTCTAACCCTCCAACCTTCAATTGCCAATTTGACAAATCCAAGATTCGAACCTTGAATTGGGCAAAGAAGAGAAAACATTTCCTAAAGTGTTCAATTTTCTTTTTTTTTTTTTTTTATATATCGAGCTACTCAAAGGAAAAGTCTAAAGTGACAAAAGGTTGCCACAAAACAGCTGATATGATGCCATGTATAGGTTTTAACTTGCTATTACAAGTTTCACAAGAGATAAAATTATGGTAGTAAATTTGGTACAGTCAATAGTAAGTTTTTGTATAAAGGAAGTTCCATATAGTTTATGTAACTTACTCTGTAAATAACAAATTAGTGGATTTTTTTTGCAAAAATTATCACGTTTTTCTTCAAAACTCACAATTTTTTATGTAGAACTTACTACATTTCCAAGAAAAATTTATGACTTCATTAACAAATCTTACCACTATTTACTGTATCATTAACAAATCTTACTAACTATAAAGTTTTATACAAAAATAACAGTAAATTGAACCATACGTGCCCACCATTCTTCAAAAATAACATATGGATGATAGCATTAAACCCCTTTACCTTTTGTGGGGATTTTCAGTTTGCCTATTAATGTTTTTAACCACCTTGCCCCATGCATTAGTCAAAATTCAGTTTGACTCTCATTACTGACAATCACAAAACATCAGTATGCAGTTTACCTCCATGAACTATGATCCTATATGCATTTTGCCCGCTATCAAATTTTATAGGCATTTTATCTACAATTTGTATTATATATAATCTATCCCTCCCATTTTCTCTTTTATTTATTTGTCTCTGTATTACTTTTTCCTTCATTTCCTCTTGATACTTCTAAGTTAGGGTAAAATATACTTTACCCTCTTGTGGTTTAGCATATTTTTGTATGCCTCCCCTACAGTTTCAAAAATTATATATAACCCCGTCATGATTTGCATTAAAATGTCAAAATGACAGAATTTGCATCCTATAATAGAGTCAATTAAAATGCCAAAAGTGCCCTCATATAATGGTGGAAATTATTTATTAAGTATAGGGGGGTTATGTATATATTTTAAAAATCATAACGGAGTTATATGGTAAAGCACCAAATTATAAGGGAGTTATATAGTAAAACACAAAAGTATAAGGAGTTAAAAGTGTCATGCATATTATATTTATATATTTTGGTCACTTTAGTCATTTTAATTTTTAGACAAGGATAATCTCGATATTTCAGTGGGTTCCGTTACAGAAAATCATTTCTGTCACTTTGATATTTTAGTTCAAACTATGAGAGAATTATATATAGTTTTTAAAATCACAAAGGGGTTATGTGAAAAATTGCTAACCATTGGGGAGGGTAAAGTGTATTTTCCCTCTAAGCTATTGTAACCATTATTAACAATTGATTAATCAAGAACTCTAAGGTTTATATATGTTTCTATATATCTTTTAATTTCTAACCATGTATGTTTCGTAATACAAGCGAAAAATTAACTTCAACCTACACAAAAATTACCATTTGCAGTCCGCAAATAATTATTGATGATGAAAATTAAACAAAAGGCCTTTCACAGAACAAAAGAACGAGGCAGCAAAAATTAAGAAAACTAAGCTTCATAGTATAATACAATATATGTTACTTGTATTACAAGGCATATTTAATCAACAAATTCTTGTATATCACAAACTTTATTAATCACAAGCACCTGATCATGGTTTCCGGTGTTCAAACTAAATGTGTAATTTGACTTGCATCGTTCTCATGAATCATCTTTTAGTTGAAGAAGAAATTCATGTTCCACTATTAATTGAATCTCATATTCTGCCCTTGTATTTTTTTGTGTTAAAACACTTTAAAATGTAGATCAATTTCATATTTATATGTACAGTGGTAGATCGATTATTTTAAATTTCTAAAAATTAATAGGATAGTTTCTATGCTGAAAGACAACGTGGTTATGCCTACTTGTTGCATAATTTTTGCCTATGGTGTTTTGGGAGGCAGGGAAGAGGAAGGTAGGGTATTCCCACAAGCAGTAATAATTAAGCCAAATATCGTACTTTTAACTATACTGAAATATCCAAATATTTCTTTAGAAAAAGAGGGAAGAGGTATAAACTTTTCGAAAAGTCCCCTAGCAAATTTCATGACAATTATAGAATGCATCCTTTTGAGAAAATTTTGGTAACCAATTGAATTAATTTAGGCTTTTTTTTCTTTTTGGCTTGAATTAACATAGCCTTTCTATTTCCCCATTAATTTGACGAAGGACTTGTAACTGGTTCTTGCTTAACAAGCACAGAGCAGATAGCTTCAACATCATCTTCAAAATGATGCCTAAAGAAAATTAGTGTCCAGCACTCCAACTAATTCCTTGATAGTTGAAAATAACGACAATGATTATCTGAAGGAAGTTGCATTTGCATTTGATAATGTAAATTGTCGTTATCAATTGATTGAATTAACATAGCCTTTT